TGCGCCCCTCCCGGGCAGCACCGAGAGAGAGAGAGAGACACTCTGTCCCTCTCGCTCGCAATTGCAGCATGCTCAGAGTGGAGGGGCAGGGCTTCAGGATGTTTCTGAGGAGGCAGGCATGGGGCAGGCTCTGTCCCCTGAGGCAGAGCAGACTGTAGCAGCCTGCCTGCTTAGTGAATTGTTCCTATTGTCTTTATGCTTTCCCCCAGGAATATAAAACAGGTGTACAATTTTAAGGCTCCTTCACATTGCCAGAGGGGTGTAAAGGACAGTATGGCCTTATAAACGTTTATGGTGCTTTCATGATTAGAATTGGTCTAAATGTTTGGACTGAAAAAATTTCCTATCAAAATGTGTCCATGAACTGTTTGCTACTGACATTTCTGGAGATGGTCAGTAGCCATTATAAATTGTGAGTTTGATTCCCCAACCCCCACTTTCTCTTCAGTTGCCTATGATGTAACACTGAGCATATGGCTGCATATATTTGTTGACTAATAACTAAAAATAAAGGGCCAAACTTAGCTATGTTACTATTAAGCAGGGCTTTGGAGCGGAGCCCGGAGCTGGAGCGCGGAGCAGCTCCGGAGCAGTGAAGCTGCAGGTTTTTGCCTGGAGCTGGAGCTGAGCCGGAGCACAGCTCCAAAGCCCTGCTATTAAGCAAGGGGGGTTGGGGATTTCCTGCAATGCTCCCCACTCCCATTCTCCATCCATTCTATAAATTACCGAAATAATTGAAACCAGAGTGATTATACTGTGTTATTTTGACAAATAAAATATGCAGAATTTTAAAAGATTGTGCAGAATTTTTAATTTTTTGGCACAGAATTCCCCCAGGAGTAACACACTGTAGGGACGCATAGCTCCCGAATCGTCAGCCCACGGGTGCGGCACACTGTGCCCGTGGCTACGAGGCCGGAGCGGCCTTCACCCCAGCGTCTGTGTTTGGGAAACTTATTGGCTGACCGGATTTTCACCCTCGCTGCTTGCTTTCACGTGCACAAGATATGGGTTTGTTATCTCATGTTGTTGTACACTGTACGCTCCTCCTATGCGCAACAATTCAACCACTTAGAAGTGTTGTAAACAGGGAAGTAGAAAGAATAAAAACCCCAGGAAAAATTCCCTGGGAGGCTTTTTGGCTACCACGACCTGGCGTTCTGTCTCCTTTCCTCTTTCGTCGCCACAACACACTAAAAATATAATGTACAATGAACCATGCTGTTATTGCAGCATCCCTCTGTGTAGCATAAATGCCATGAAGTTTTAGGACTGCTTTGGCTGAGGCAGTGTCTTCACCTTTGTTATACAGCCCTCCGTTTAGAGGTGGGACTGTTCAACTGCTATTCCATTCTGACGCATGCATACATCTTCAGACATGTGATTAAAAAGACAAGTGTACGGGGGATGTTGTAAAGTACACAAGACTTTAAAACCACAAGCCCAATCTACTCTATGCAGGCATTAAAGTCTCCAGGCATGTTTCGTAAAAACAGACCTTTGAAAGAGTCCCCTCGGCAAAAGTTCCCCCCGACTGTTTGGTCAGAGTGTTGCGTGGTCATTGGTTGCCACTATATACCCAAGAGGCAGAAGCATTTCTGTAGAATTGTCTCAGGTTGACGAGAATCCAGGATCTCAAGAGAAGAGAGACTACTGCAGGGATTATGATCTGCTGGATTACCCTTGTCTTCAATTCTCCACAGCTAGCGGCAAGGCATCCTCAGGGAAAGCCCCACATGTTGAGAGTCCTAAGATGTGGTCTTAGTTTGCATGGCAAACACATTGTATTTTCAGCAGGGCCCTTGCCAGATTTAAATGCAGAAGTTGGATGGTGCATGGTGAACGAGACAGGGCCCTCTGGAATAGGAAGAATGGTCTTGTGGTTAAGAACCTGATGAGACCTTGGAGATCTGGTATTTATTCCTGCTTCTGCCACTGATTTCTTTTGTAATCTTGATCAAGTCACTTAAATCTATGTACTCCAGTTCCACATTTGTAAAATAACTCCCCATTACTCACAGGGTTATTGTAAGGATAATGTCTCTGATGCTTCATTAAATTAATGCTTATAAAATGCTAAAATACTATGGCAATAAAGCCCATAAAAAACCCAAGCAAGCAAGCTACAAAGAGAGAAGAGTCAGGCTTTCAAAAGCTTGTTGGCTTGATTCATAACTAGGATGGGAGCTTCTGAGGCGGGACAGTGGATTCATTGTTGGTCCTTTTATGTTGTAATACCCGTACTTTCTTGTTTGTTTCATTGATATAAGATGTCCAAGTGTTTGGCCTTTGGCATCATAAAATATAAGCAATCAATCAATGCATTCAGATTAGAGTAGGACTGCTCCTGCAGAACTTGATAAGAGAATAGAGCTAAGATTTTTTTTTTTTTTTAAAAAGATGCCTAAAGTTAGATGCCTAAATCCATTCTTAGGCACCTAAATAAGTGGCCTAAAGTCACAGGGTGCTGGGCACTTTTGAAAGCAAGGCCACTTATTTAGGAGCCTAAAGATGGGTTTAGGACCCTAACTTTAAGCACCCTTTTAAAAAAATCTTGGCCTACATTTTTATCTAGTGTCATTTCTCTCATGGAGCACAAAAAAAAAAAAAAAAAAAAAAGAAAAATGAGGTTAATACAATATTAAGATATCACCATTTCTTTTAAAGTCTCAGGAAATGCATGCTTTAGCGTCTCTACGGCAATATTAACTCAGGCATGTGGCACATCCTTTATAGTTTGTGATATACATTAAACACGAGAGTAAATTACAGGTAAACTCTGACTATGCACATGACTCAGGGAACATCTGAAATTTTATCATAGTATCAATTTCACAAACTAATTTGGAATAACCCAAAATTTAGATAATAGGATTGTCAGGTTTACCTGTATTATCTTATACAACAAACAAGGAGAATGGGAAGAGAAAATACACTACATATATGCAACATGTCCAACTTGCTGCTGCTGCATGAACCTTTAATTTTGCATTTCCTGACTTTTTAAACATTTTAATTTGCACAGGCTTAATGTTTCTGCACTTAGGTGTTTTAAATAGGAAAAAGAAAAAGAAAAAAGAAAGAAAGATATAGCACCAATGCATGTTTCTCAGAGGCAAATTTGTTTCTTGTAAATACTTAGAAGACTAGGGATCAACTTCTCTCTAGGTCAAGAGGATAAAGGGTTAGTCTTGGGATTAGTTTCCTACTCAAAGAGGCAGAGGAAAGAGAAAAAGGGATGCCTGCAGGGCCTGATCCATGCAGCAGAGGTGGAATTAGGGGTGCTAACGCACCCCCTGGCTTGATGCACTTAAACACCAAATACATGGTTTCCATGATCAGCGCCCCCACTATAAAATTGTCCCAGCACCCCTGGAGCCACGTAAGTATGAATGTTATATCCAATAGCAATTTAAGGCCAATAAATACATTAAATCATTTCAGATACAATGAATTAAAAAAGGGTGGGGGGAGGGCAGCTGGTCAGGAGTGGGGCGGTACGGGTGAAAAAACACTAAAAGATATTGTTTTGAAAAGCACACACTTGTAGTGCAGCAGAAGCATGGGATGTAGTAAATCTCTCCTGTCATGCTCATCTTACAACTAAAGGTTCCAATCCTGCAACTTGATCAATGTAGGATCCATGCTCAAGTATTGACTTCAATAGGACACTGCATGGGTTGACCCTTATGCCTACGCAGAATTCCACTGAAGTCAAGTGTTCTGCACCTACACAGAAGTCTACTTGCAAAGATGAGAATGCAGAGTCAGGGCCTATTAAAATCTTCTAGTTTTCAAATACTCAATGAGGACTATTTACCTACCAAATTTTAGAGTTCAGCTGTTTTTGCTGTAAACTGTTTTTTTTTTTCTTTTTAAAGAATGTTGAGAATGTATGTATTCATTAAATATATTCCGTTTTATAATAAGAATTTTAAAAAAGAAAACCTAAACTTTCCCTTAGTTTTGTTTAGTCTTGCAGCTTTAACAACTTGTAAAATAGTGTAATTGCATAATTCTATTGGTGATTCTATGAAGCATGCACCAGCTGGAAAGACATACAAGCTGTGAAACATTTACACCTCTACCCCGATATAACGTGACCCGATATAACACGAATTCGGATATAACGCGGTAAAGCAGCGCTCCGGGGAGGCGGGGCTGCGCACTCCGGTGGATTAAAGCAAGTTCGATATAACGCGGTTTCACCTATAATGCGGTAAGATTTTTTGGCTCCCGAGGACAGCGTTATATCGAGGTAGAGGTGTACCTTTTTTCTAATTGTCATTAGCAATTACTTTATGAAAAATCAATAAAAAACGAATCACAAAAAATACTGAGTTACATGGGCCACTTCCACTGACAATTATAATACAATTATGGTCCACTTCATCAGCTTTTAAAAACAATATAAGAAGCAGGAAGAGGGGGTTGATGATAGAAGGAACCAATTTCAGCAAACATTTTCCTCAGGTATACTAAACGATACGCTCTCTGGGGCAGGGACTGTGGTTTTATAGCATGTGTGTACAGTGCCTAGCACAACGTCTAACTGCCGTGATACAAATAGTAATCTGTTTGGTGGATCTTGACTCAGACGTTCTGCACTCCATACATGCATGGCATTGATGCCAACAGGATTCTATGCGTATAAGAAGACTACATTACTGAGCCAAAATGTGCCATGCAGAGACTGGGAGGAGGCTTTTGTCTTCATTATTTTACCAAGAATTTCTGTTTTAAACAAAGACAGATATTTAAAGACTACAAAGCCTACTGGACCCTAGAGGCCTGGTTCATCACCCCCCTCCTCCTTGGATACTATCATAACACCAGCAAAAAGGAAGAGAAGGGGAGAGTCAAGCACTGCTTATGCTGATGGAGTTGACTCCACCAGGAGCAGGGCAGTGGTGAATCAGGCCCTGCATCTTGTGTAGGTATTGACACTAGACCCAGACTCAATAGGATATTTCTTGTTAATTCACCATGTGGGGGTTTACCTTTTTTGGTTCATTGACGCCATCTGACTCCATTCATTTATGCAGGGGTTATAACAGTGGGCAGCCGATATCTCTTGACTGGTGATCCTATAGCCCCCGATGACAAACAGGTAGTTGTCCAGCATCGCCGACCCGTAGCCTCTGACATTCATGAGATCCAGGGGCAGGTTGTTGGCCAAGGGCAGCCACCTCTGGGCCACCTCATCGTACCTCAGCATGGACCAAGGGGCTTCCTCCTGCAGGTGGCGGCGCGGGGCCAGGCCCAGAGAGGAGGCACCCATGAAGTCTCCAATAGCCAGGAGGGTGGCAGTGCCCTTCATCCGCCTCTCCATCAGCTGCTGCCGGAGGGCGCTGGGCAGGAGGAGGTGGGGACGGGCCTCAGGTCTCCGCAGCACCTGATGGTAATGGGCAGCCATGAAGTCCAGGCAGGCATCCTGCAGGTCCTGGAGGCCATAGACCTGGGCTAGGCGGTGCAGCTCCAGGCAGTTGCCCAGCCTCACCTGGGAGAGGAGCAGGCGCAGCAGGGGGGTGACCTGCAGGTAGGAGGCGGCCTCGATCAGCTCCTCCAGCAGAGGGGGCTCCTGCTCCCCGCCCTCCTCCTGCTCCAGCCGGGCCAGGCACGAGGTGTTGATGAAGTCCAGCACCAACTCCAGCCCCAGGGCGCTGAGCCCCCCGCGCAGCTGCTGCTCCTCCTGCCCCTGCCCTGCCTCCCGCATGCCGGAGCGGAAGAGGGCGCTCTGCTCGATCAGCTTCCTCTTGCAGACCGGGTAGCACCTGTCCCCCAGCCGGATCCGCACCACCTCCTCCCCGCCCGCCCCAGCCTCCCCCGGCGGCTCCGCGCGGGACATGGCCCGCTCCGGCCCCGGGCTCCACCTCCGGCTCCTTCCTTGCCCGCTGCCGGGTTGGGAGGGGAGCGCACGCCGGGAGACGCAGCCGCTGCAAGGGCGGGAGGACGTGCCAGCGCCCGGGCCGGGGGATGGTTCCTCCGGCGGCGGCCTCAGCCCCCGTCCCGGCGGCGTCCTGCAGCGCGCAGGCCTAAAAAGGCAACATTGGAGCGCGCAGCCCGGGCCCCGCTCAGCCGGTTGGGAACCAGCGTCTCTAGGCACCAGCTGCCGCAGCCTCCCGGCCGGGGAGGGGTTTAAAACGCTCTCCATTTTGTGCGCCTGGCTGGAGCACCCCCACCCCCAGCCTCTCCAGCACAGGCCGCAGGGGGCCAAGGTCAGCCCTGAGCTGCCTTCCCCTGGCAGTGCCCATCCCGGGTGTAAGGAACTCAGCAGCACAGAGTGGGTCTGAGAGGCCTTTAAACCTGCCTTAAAAGCAATTTAAAATGAGGGAGTTTCTGGTCTAACACCCTCTGCTCTTTCTCGCTGTGAAAAGGGGACCTGGCTGCTCTGACGTTATATGGCTCCTATAAAAACTGAGCTGATGGAAGGGGAAGGGTGGACTTGTAGTTAAGGCACCATACTGCCATTTGGGCCAGCTGGCTGTCATTCATAGCAGTGCCCCAGCCTTCCTGTTTCATCCCAGGGATACTAGCAGCCCATTTCTCCCAAGGCCGCCCGGGGGGGGCAGCAAGTGGGGCAATTTGCCCCGGGCCCCGCAGGGGCCCCACGAGAGTTTTTCGGGACCCCTGGAGCGGGGTCCTTCACTTGCTCTGGGGGCCCCGGAAAACTCTCGCGGGGCCTGGCCCCCTGGAGCTTCTTCCGCTCTGGGTCTTTGGCTGCAATTTGGCGGCGGGGGGGGTCCTTCCGCTCTGGGACCCGCCGCCGAAGTGCCCCGAAGACCCGCAGCAGGGGGTCCTTCCACCCTGGGACCCGCTGCCGAAATGCCAGGTCTTTGGCAGCCCCCGCCACCGAAGACCCCAGGCCCCCTGAATCCTCTGGGTGGCCCTGATTTCTCCCACTCTGCGGCTGTCTTGGCTATATTGATTGTAAGCTCTTTGGGGCAGGGACTGTCTCTTAGCTGTGTTGTTTGTGTGGTGCCTAGGACAGTGGGGCTCTGATCTTGGTTGAGGCTGTGACAGCATCCACCCCTTACACCTTGCGGGGGAGGGGGCAAACTACGGCCTGGTGACCACATCCGGCCCGTCAGATGTTTTAATCCGGCCCTCAAGCTCCCGCTGGGGAGTGGAGTCCGGGGCTTGCCCCACTCCGTGCCATGGCTCCGCACAGCTCCCAGAAGCAGTGGCATGTCCCCCCTCCAGCTCCTATGTGTAGGGGGAGCCAGGGGCTCTGCACCCTGCCCCTGCCCCAAGCGCCGCCCCCGCAGCTCCTATTGGCCAGGAACAGCAGCCAATGGGAGCTGCAGGGGCAGCGCCTATGGAAGGGGAAGTGTGCAGAGCCCCCTGGCTGCCCCTACGCGTAAGAGCTGGAAGAGAGAAATGCCGCTGCTTTAGGGAGCTGCTTGAGGTAAGTGCTGCCCGGAGCCTGCACCCCAACCCCCTGCCCTAGCCCTGATCCCCCCCCTCCTGCCCTCTGAGACCCTTGGTCCCAGCCCAGAGCACCCTCCTGCACCCACAGCCCCACCCCAGAGCCCACAGCCCCAGCTGGAGCCCTAACCTCCACTTCGCACCCCAATCCCCTGCCCCAGTCCAGAGCCTCTTCCCACACCCTGAACTCCTAATTTCTGGCCCCATCCCAGAGCCCTCACCCCCTCCTGCACCCCAATCTCCAATTTCATGAGCATTCATGGCCCGCCATACAATTTCCATACCTGGATGTGGCCCTTGGGCCAAAAGGTTTGCCCACAGCCTTGCCTTATACACTATTGTAATAATCTTTGTATAAGGTATGCCTGGTAAGGTATCATTTGAAAACTCATAATTTGCTGATGTATGATATTATGAACACATTTTCCAAATCATACTGCACCGCCCAGGCAAAAATCTGTCCTAAACAAAGGAATGTGTGCTTGCCTTAATTTGTGTTCAAGCGGTAAACAGAGTCATTAAGCAGGAAGGGAAAACAAAAGAAGCTCAAACAGGTAAAAGAACCCAGCAGGGAACATCCTTCTACACAGACTCTTTTTCTTATCGGTCCCAACTGGAAAAGTTTTTTCAAGAGAGGCACTGAAACTATAGAAGGATAGAGCAAACACCCCAAGACACCTTCTCTCTCTCTCCCTGTCTGGCGTCACACTTAAGAATACAAAGGAAAACAGTCATTGGGCTTGGCGGGGGGAAGGGGTCCTGACCTGAAGAGTTTGGTGAGCAATCTTGCGAAAGCCAGGGTGTGACTGGCAGGCTGCAGTTACACAAACAATCTGGGAGTTCTAGCATGCTGGTGGCTGGTTGTGAGTAGTTCAGGTGGAGGTTACAACAGCAAGGCACTGCAAGGCAACCCAGGTTACAGGGCAGGGGTGACACAGCTCCCTCCCCTTCCCCCCCACTGGTCTGGATTATACCCTGGTATGTCATAGGGATGCATAGGCAATACTTAGGGCCCTACTAAATTCATAGTCCATTTTGGTCAATTTCACGGGCATAGGATTTTAAAAAATGTAAATTTCATGATTTCAGCTATTTCAATCTGAAATTTCATGGTGTTTGTAATTGTAAGGGTCCTGACCCAAAAAAGAGACGTGGGGGGTCGCAAGGTTATTTGGGGGGAGTTGTAGTACTGCTACCCTTACTTGTGTGCTGCTGCTGGCAGTGGCGCTGCCTTCAGAGCTGAGCAGCTGGAGAGCAGCGGCTGCTGTCCTGGGAGCCCAGCTCTGAAGGCACCTTCATCACACCTTTACCTTCATCACACTATCCATCGCTGTGCTGTGGGACACTTACCTTGAAGGATCCTGACATCTCCAATGCCATGCCTGTCCTGGGAGTGTGAGTATGTGTTTGTGACGACCCCCCCCCCTTCTTTTGAGCTTAGCTATCACTATAATAAACGTGCTGCTTTCTGCCAAACTCTGGTGGGTCATTAGTCCTCCCTAAGCTTACTAGCCTATCCAATTTTGGGTAACAGAACACACACAGATACAGCTGGGAGCAACTTACATGTTGGAGGCTGTTTGTGAGCAGTCCAAGACTGGAGGCTACAGTAGCAAAGCAGTGTAAAGTGCACCTCAAATTAGAGGGCAGAAGTCACGCAGCTACTCATCAGTCTAGATTATAACCCATATGTCACAATTTCACAGGCTTCAAAAGATGCTTTGGGGCATGTTGATATTTCCCAAGCCTGGATTACAGGGTGTTGGATTGCCCCAAGAAATTTGGGATGATCACAGAAATATTTAGAGGTAACAGAGAGTCCTGTGGCACCTTTAAGACTAACAGATGTATTGGAGCATAAGCTTTGTGGGTGAATACCCACTTCGTCAGACGCATGTATTCACCCACGAAAGCTTATGCTCCAATACATCTGTTAGTCTTAAAGGTGCCACAGGACTCTCTGTTGCTTTTTACAGATCCAGACTAGCACGGCTACCCCTCTGATATTTAGAGGTAGTAACCCTGCTTGATGTGCAGGAGGCATATCTGTATTTAGAATGGACAGCCATTTATTAGCTACATATTTTCTATTTTCCCACTTTGTAATATATGGAGATATACCTATCTCATAGAACTGGAAGGGATCCAGGAAGGGCAGCAAGTCCAGCCCCCTGCCTTCACTAGCAGGGCCAAATACTGATTTTGCCCCAGATCCCTAAATGGCCCCCTCAAGGATTGAACTCACAACCCTGGGTTTAGCAGGCCAATGCTCAAACCACTGAACTATCCCTCCCCAAAGTTTTGTCCCTTCCAAAAACTTTCCTAGACCAATGTATTGCAATAGAATTAAAGGCATGCTCCTATTTTTCCTCCCCAAATGTCTCATTAGTCAGTCAGTATCCATCATGCCTTAGCTGTTCCCCAGGTTTTTCAGCTCAGCCTCCACAGTTCTTCACCATGTTGTTTTCGAATGACTTTGTTTTTGCTTGCCTTCAGGTGTCCATCTTACTGCTATTCTGGTGATGGAATCAGTTTCCATCTGAAGCACATTGCCAATCCATCTCCAGCGCCTCCTGGTAATCATAGAATCATAGAATATCAGGATTGGAAGGGACCTCAGGAGGTCATCTACTCCAACCCCCTACTCAAAGCAGGACCAATTCCCAACTAAATCATCCCAGCCAGGGCTTTGTCAAACCTGACCTTAAAATAGGGTGACCAGACAGCAAATGTGAAAAATCGGGACAGGAGGTGGGGGGTAATAGGAGCCTATATAAGAAAAAGACCCAAAAACCAGGACTGTCCCTATAAAATCGGGACATCTGGTCACCCTACCTTAAAAACCTCTAAGGAAGGAGATTCCACCACCTCCCTAGGTAACCCATTCCAGTGCTTCACCACCTTCCTAGTGAAAAAGTTTTTCCTAATATCCAACCTAAACCTCCCCCACTGCAACTTGAGACCATTACTCCCTGTTCTGTCATCTGCTACCACTGAGAACAGTCTAGATCCATCCTCTTTGGAACCCCCTTTCAGGTAGTTGAAAGCAGCTATCAAATCCCCCCTCATTCTTCTCTTCTGCAGACTAAACAATCCCAGTTCCCTCAGCCTCTCCTCATAAGTCATGTGCTCCAGCCCCCTAATCATTTTTGTTGCCCTCCGCTGGACTCTTTCCAATTTTTCCACATCCTTCTTGTAGTGTGGGGTCCAAAACTGGACACAGTACTCCAGATGAGGCTTCACCAATGTCGAATAGCGGGGAATGATCACGTCCCTCGATCTGCTGGCAATGCCCCTACTTATACAGCCCAAAATGCCGTTAGCCTTCTTGGCAACAAGGGCACACTGTTGTCTCATATCCAGCTTCTCGTCCACTGTAACCCCTAGGTCCTTTTCTGCAGAACTGCTTCCTAGCCATTCGGTCCCTAGTCTGTAACAGTGAATGGGATTCTTCCGTCCTAAGTGCAGGACTCTGCACTTGTCCTTGTTGAACCTCATCAGGTTTCTTTTGGCCCAATCCTCTAATGATGGTGCTCATAACTTCTTGGCTGCACTGTGTGAATAGGTCTTGGTTTGATATTGTTCTGGGCCAAAAGATACGGAGAATTTTTCTGAGGCAGGTAGTATGAAATGAATAAAATTTGGACATGTCATACTTTGTCATTCCCCGGCATTCTGCACTATAAAGTAGTGTTGGAAGTACGCAGCTCTGATAGATCCTGAGTTTGGTTTTGGTGTTGTATTTTGATGATTTCCAGACTATATTTAAGTTCCTGAAGGTGTTCCTGGCTTTATTGAATCTGTTCCGGATGTCCTGGTTTGTTCCACCGTCC